TCTAAGAAATCTGTAATGATGTTTGATAATCCTTTGCTATATGTAAAAAGGACATGGGTAATTGAACAAACGACCAAAGCAATCTCATTCAACTGAGTGGAGATTCTGAGAACCAACTATCTGAAGCAAATATACAAAATTCTAGATAAGCTTGTATCATTTTACATTAAAAATCCATGGTACCATAGGTAAGTGAATTATCAGTCTATATAAAATATTGAAGAAACTCAACTTGATTAGAAAAATGTGCTCTCTGTCTGAAACTCAGCTAGTGCCTTCTTTAAATAATGACTTAAGTTTCCTTGATCGCCTGATGAGAAAGGATTTTGAAAATACACATTGTTTTAGAACCAAAAGTCCTGTGGGGCTGACAATGGGTTTAAAAGTTTACATTTCAGTTATAGCTAGTTAGTCAAGGGCATGACAAACAGAAGAGAAGGTCTTCAAGTGATAAAGAAGTTGTCTTTCTAATCTGACCTGGAGGAATGAGTTTCATGGCAGATATTTTCCCTAGATGGGAAAAGATCTTTGCTTTCATGAGTTGTAAGATGCTCTCTGATCGGCAGAGTAGGTCAGAAAATAAGGGAAAAAAAGTTTCCCAATTTCTCTTCTATTTTTGTCAATTTAATTTTAGCATAAATGTTCTGAACGCATCTAATTATCTGTAATAATCTCCATTCTTAAAATAACCTTTACTATGGGTATCTGACTAGTTAAGACTGGAACCTAGCATAGCTCCATTGAAGTCACCATCTGTATCAATTTTCACTGATCTATTACTACATCTCTTACCTTTATGGATAAAACTGAACAGGACTTTCACCTTAATAAGGAGTGCAGGATTGGGTTTTACTGTTTCTCTGTTGAATAATAAAACTTTGTTCTTCTATATTGTAGAACAAGTGTTCATATCGGAACTGTTGAGTGTCTATGTCTAAATACATTGTACACCTTACTGGAAATAAAACTACCTAAATTAAAGAATGAGTCTAATTCTCCTTTCAATGATATACGTCAATATTTATATGGCTGAAGAACCAATGGAGTGAGGAGAATCAGGTCAGACGTGTCTTTCTCAGATGCTGAGCTGACAAAAAAAGTGCACAATGCCATGCTGTATCCTTAGGGAATCACAGCCTGCAACAAGAATGCCAAAGACAGAACAATCTGAAGTTTCCGGGGAACATAGCTGAACAGAAAAGGCTATTGTAAGCAGAAGAAAAGTAGATGAGATGGTTATTTGTTACATAGCTACAAGAAACTAGAGTTGTGTTACTGTCTTTGTTCCTTTTTTTCTGCTTAAAATCTCCCTTATATCACTAACATAAATTTCCATAGTAGTAATAACTTTGACTTATTATGCAAGCACCCTCATTGCCTGGGAGAAGGTAATCATGACATCTACACTGTTTGAAATAAATGCCGATGAAAACATAAGCAACATGAGGAAAGCTGCAGCATATTTCAAAGTTACTCGGCCAAATTCATGCCTAGACGACTCCAATAACACCAAAGGAGCTAACTAGGAATTAATTTGGTCCATTCATTTCTATTTTCGGTTTGCTGAGGGTACCACCACAATGGGTAAGAACTGTTTGATGTCAGTTAAGTTCAGGTTTAGATGTCTAAGGAGTCTTCCCTGTAAAATATCAGGCAAACCTCTTCTGGACAGCTCCTACATTGTGTGTGACCATTCACCAGTGTCTATTATCAGAGTCAGGGGAAGCAGTCACTAAATTTGATGGAGCCCTTTAACAATACTAGCATTATTTTCTACCTAAGGGGAAATTGTTTTAAGAGTGAGACTTAGGTGTGTTGAATCGTATTTGCTCTGCTACACATATTAGTCATGTGGAGTTAGCCTCTAGGAGCAGGAATCAATTTGTACTTGAATTACACTCTGTATATGCCAATTCTTTGCTGCCTTACCCCAGAGCAATTTGGGTTGTTTGAAGGACGGCTGTGACCTCACTGAAATTTTTAACATTGGGTTCACGTTAGGACAGCTATTGTTTCAGTTACTGCCAATCACAGAAAGAGCTGCACAATAGTTCAGATCACTGGCCAATAGCAACTTTTAGGAAACAACCAAGAATGGAGTAAATTCAAATTCAGTAGATTTAAAAACAAAAAATCACAGTTTATTAAGGTTAACACTGCAGAATTTTGCAAAACGCATGTTGTAATTTATTTCTCCAACTTCTGTGTTATAATCAAGAGCTCTGAAGAATGTTGTGTTCTTTTGCAAATATATTAAAAGATTTTTAGGTCGGCAAGATTACTCAAATTTATTATTGTTTTCAAAGAACTGAAACTTACATTATTTTAAGAGGAGGGAGTAATTGTCATCCCACCTACCTGCATTTTATATTGCTAAATACCAGGGTTTAGGCTTCCAGTATTGTTGCAGAACTGGAAATAGTCACTAAGTTTTGCCTTATTGATTATGTTACATTGATTATTTCTAGTAACAGGCAAACAGCTTTACAGACAACCAGCTTAAGTTTGGCTGGGATGGTGAAAACAACGTAATTGAAATGTGTGGCCGTCCTTTCTAAAAATAAGCAGGCATAAAGTATTTCTTATTTTAATAGAAGTACAGGACTTGGTATAAATATCATATATAATCTCATCACCAAATTATTGCTTATTATTTGGTGAGTGCCAAAGATGCACTATACTCATGTAATTCAAGATCCCAAGGATCTTACAATATACAATGCAATCACATACCATTTCAAGTGATCTGAAGAAACGTAGATACAATGAAAGAGATTCTGTTATCCATTTCTCTGATGTAAAAACCAGAGTAACTCCATCAAATGAACTCATTTGGAAGAACCTTGGTATAACGCAGAGCAGAATCTAGCAAAGTTTACTAATACAGTTTTTCTCCATTGCCTATGCCAAAGACTTATTATAGAATCTTGAACAACCTCAGATCATAACAACAAAGAACACAATTATGCAGCATAGCCTACAAAAACAAAATTCAGAGTTGAAATAAATATTACATACAGGGCTAACAAATGCTATCAGGTCAGGCCACATCATTTCCAACTGCTCATAGATGTCTTAGATGAGCTATTCTCTTCTTATACCACATATTGTACAAATTTTTTAAAAGCTGATTTTTGTCTACATACTTTAAATAGGTTCCGCCTCAGTTTAATGCAGTTCCCACCCTCCTCCCCATTTTATTTTCCATTCCAAACATATGGGCCTCTCAATTCTCTCAATGTCACTACATTAAAATAACAAACCAGGGCCTGAGCCCTATTATCAAGAGTTAAACAAAGCATCAGTCACACGCAACTTTGATTTCTAGGAGGAGAATAAATTCTGCATTTGGGAAGAATCAGAACTCATGTCCAGCCTTTTGCTAAGATCATAAATAAATTATATCCATTTTATGTAGTATTAAAGGAGGGGAATGTAGGCAAGAAGGGTTGTTTGCATCTTTTATCATCTATCGGTTTTTTTAATTACCTGAAATATGTAGCAATGAGCAACTGCATTGTAATTGATGTCTGAACTGTCAAATAAAATTGCTGTAAGTATGATGGTATTGGGCAATATAATTGTGCTATTAGCATGATTTCTTCACAAAGATTACTCAGTCAATAGAATACCTTTATGGAAATAATGAAATAGTTAACAACCAGGGATTGCATCATTTTAATACTAGTTTCTGAGCTTACATTTTGGTGCATTTAATCCTCCAGCACATGATCTCACAAAATAGAGTATTTGCACAAGTAAAATCTCTCTAAAGAATGCTTTTTGATCTTATAAAAAGAATAATAAGTTTTTTAGACCAACAAACATAGCTAAGAATATGTAGAACTGTTTCAAATTTGTTTATTTCATACACTTATTTTTATAAAATGTGTCCCTCAAATATTCCGGACACATGCACAATGAAAACTATGTGTGGCCCCTAACAAGTAAAGTGCGGTTTTCTCCTCTGAATAGTGAGTATAAAAATGGAATCCTGGTGCTCTACGTTTATTGCATCTCAGTGACTTCCAGATTCATTGTGCTCAGTTTACAAGTAGTTTCTTCTGTCAGCCAGCCCCACAATCTAGGTGATGACAACGAAGGCAAGATTTTTCCTCCATAAGCATCCACACTAACAATTAAGATTTTGAAGGCCAAATGTAGTCCTGAGTTACACTTGGGTAATCTAGCTATTTTAGGCTCCCATTGTCAGAGTATCTGAGCACCTCACAATCTGACATATTTAACCTTATAACTCCTCTGTGGGTTAGGTGTTATGCCCAATTTACAAACAAGGAACTGTGGCAGATTGTTGCCCGCACATTGTGCCCTCTTTGATACTGTGCAAATATACTAATGACACTAACAGACTGGCCATGTAGGTGGAACTTGGCAAACAATTCTGTTGATGATACATGAAAAGGAATCCTGCTTGCTCTATCCCAGTGGTTCTCAAACTGTGGGTCAGGACCCCAAAGTGGGTTGCAACCCCATTTTAATGGGGTCACCAGAGCCAGTATTAGACTTGCTGGGGCCCGGGGCTGAAGCCGAAGCCCAAGGGCTCCAGCCTGGGGCCGCAGGGTTTGGGCTCCGCCCCTGCCCCTGCCCCCCGCCTGGGGTCATGAAGTAATTTTTGTTGTCAGAAGGGGGTCATGGTGCAATGAAGTTCGAGAACAGTTTACTAAAAAAAGATTTAAAAAAATATTTTTGAACACCTTAGAATGTTTAACTAAGTTTTGGAAAGGTTTTTAAGTGATGCTTTTATTCTGAGTTGATTTGATCAATCCTTCATTCCGACTCATGAAGAATCACTTATTCCTAAGGAACGTGGCTTGATATAAACCAGCTGGGAGTGATTATCCAGATTTTAAATTGATGCTGGATTAAATACAAGTAAAAAATAGTAATCATTTCACACATAACTGCAAAGAATACCAGACATTATATATTGTGAAAGAAAGGGAAAAAAAACCCAAACAATATCAAATATTAAACCCTACCTTGCCAGCCTGGTTTGCACACTGGTTTGACATCAACTCGTACTAAGACATCTTCTGTTGCACGTTTCTGCCCACAGTCAAAAGCAGTTACCATTATCTCATACACGTGTTGTTTATCGTAGTTCAGCTTCTCCGTGTTTCTAATATTACCTGCAGATTTAATATAAGACAGCATCCAGCAAATATTTATTGGTCAAGCTTATTTCTTTGACAATTATGTATTGCATCCATGTACCAGCCCACAGTAGCGAGGGCCAGATAAAGCAAGCCCTCAGTGGGCAGAATTCCTGTTCAGGAGTTCTACATGCAGAAGATTGTGGGACAGGGCCCAAATGAAAAGAACCCATCAGTGTCATATAAGATTTCATTTTAGGACAATGTAATTGCACAGACTTGATTGCATGTAAATGTATCTTTTTAAGTAAGATTGAACATGTAATTACAGGCAACACTATCCTCATCTTCATACACTCCTCACATAGAGCATTCACATCATCACTCCTTTCCCTTAGACCCTGCAGATGGATAACCATTGGTCCATGTTTGGGAAAGGAGCAGAAGGAGGATAGACTATGGGTCAGGGCTAGGAAAAAAATCACATTGTTTGCCTTCTAGTCCTGTGGAGATCATGAAGGGAAGATAGTTTAGCTTTGGCGGTACTATCTTGTCACTCATTCCCTCTGCAGTTAGTTCCTATCTAAATGGTGAATACCTTCTTCCTTTTAGTCCCCTCCTATGGGCCAGGATCATTATCATCATCTACATAACCAAGTTCACCTGCATTTTATATGACACCACTGTGCTACCAGATGGAAAATAAAATTCAACAACAAAACTCATCTGCCAAACCTGACAGATACATAAAGGTGACAAAGTATCCATTCTAGGAACAAAGAAATTACATGTTTCACAAGAAAATGGAAAGATCTCTCTCAGTCACCATAATCTGTAGTGTTTTAGGATTGCAGTCGTAATTAATGAGTTCAGCATTTTCATTCAGTCCATTTCTGCAGAAATGCAGTTCTCGCTCAACCTGCACCTCAGAAATTTTTAATATACTCTTTGCTCCAACATATTAATTCATTCTTTAGCCAGGAATATATCTAATCATACTCACATCCTAAAGTTATATTCATTCTAGATGGGAACCCCTGTCTCAAGTCATATTGTACCAAATGTGGATCTGACATGGCATGCTGCACAATCAAGTAGTTTGACTAAAATTTGCAAACTTGGGCACCAAAATACATATGGTATTTATGCACATAAAAAGTGGCTTATTATCAAAAGGTACAGAGAAGGCAGGGCTGCCTCCTTTAAACATCTTGGCCTTTGCAAACTCTTTTCATTGAGTTTAAACTTGAGAAAAAACAACCCCCAAACTGCTATACATACATGGCCAATTTCCAAACCCGGTCTTTAGTTTTTCATTCACAACTGTGCAGGAGACAGACCTTGAACCCACAAATAAGTGTTTTCAGGGAAACTATATGTAAGTGCCATTTTGGTCATTTGGCCATTTTGGTCAGAGATGATCATTTCTGAGCACAAACAAATGTACAGAACGGCACACACTGAATTAGAACTCTAGCACTCTGGGGGAAGTACCCTATACCTGGTGCATCGTGATTTCCCTTCTTCCCCCCTCATAGCAGGGGGAAACAGGGAAGATGATTGTGACCAAGTCACATTCTGGTTCCTGGTCTGCTTCTGGGGAAGTGCAGTAAGCATTGCACTATACTGATCCTTAGTATTTAGCTAGGACTATATATTTTCCAAATGATGCATCTTAATTAAACCCTCATAAAACTCCTACGAAGTAGGCAAGATCATTATCTAGTCAATAGCCTTCTCTGGTTAATTGTCCCTCACATGGTTAATAACCCATGTAAAAGGTCAAACTGAGCTTTTTCTGACCACTCTCTGACCCCAAAATAGCTTGCTAATTTATTTTCCCACCCTCATCTCAACTTATACTAAAACTATCTTATTGATACTAATCCATTTTTTTCACAGGTTCTGTCCATATGTAAAATACCTGGTTCCTTCCAGATCAACCAACCAATAACACTCAGGAAAGGTATACTCTAGCCACCCTTCACTGTAAATACAGCTTTACGAACCTCATCTAAAGCCCTTTGACATCTCCTACTCTCTGCTGGATCTAACACCATCTTCTGGTCCACATCTTTGTGGGTTCCTTCAGTTTGTGCTAAATTGAATCCTGCTGCTCAAGCTCCCAGTGAAATACCTCACCCATTATTAAACCCTTTTCTTATGATTAAACACAAAAGAACACAACACCTTGTTGAATACCTGCAGCTAAAAGTGTGACTTATTTCCTGTTTTGCTTTTGTCCTTCCTTAACCCCTTCCCCTCTAATTGAGGGTGAGGGTGTACACGCTTTACAGAAAGGGTAACAGAGCAGTGGAGTGACTTGAAGGTCAAGCAGCAAGCTAGGGACAGGATTAGAATGCAGGAGTTCCTTGATCTAGACCAGTGGTTTTCAAACATTTTTTCTCGTGACCCAGTTGAAAAAAATTGTTGATGCCTGTGACCCAACGGAACTGCGGATGAGGGGTTTGGGGTGTGGGAGGGGCTCAGGGGTGGGGCAGAGGGTTGGGGTATGGGGATGAGGGCTGCGGGTGAGGCCAGGAATGAGGGGTTCAGGGTGTGGGAGGGGGCTCTGGGCTGTGGCGGGGGTTGGGGTGCGAGAGGGGATTAAGGCTCTGGGGTGGGGGTGCAGGCTCTGGGGTGGGGCCAGGGATGAGGGATTCGGGGTGCAGGAAAGGACTCTGGTTTTGGGGGGGGTTCAGGGCTGGCTGATGGGACTTTTAATGGTCCAGTCAGCAGTGCTGACCAGAGCTGCCATGACCCGGTGCCTTATATTCCGCGACCAAGTACTGGGTCGAGACCTGCAGTTTGAAAACCACTGTTCTAGACCAAGAGTCCTGTGGTACCTTATAGACTAACAGACGTATTGGAGCATGAGCTTTCGTGGGTGAATACATCCAATGAAGTGGGTATTCACCCACGAAAGCTCATGCTCCAAAACATCTGTAAGTCTATAAGGTGCCACGGGACTCTTTGCTGCTTTTACAGATCCAGACTAACACGGCTACCCCTCTGATACTGTTCTAGACCATTGTCCCACGCTGAAATGTATTCCGATATTCAGAACACTAAATTCTTCTATCCAATAAGAATGAAAACTCAAACATACACTTCTCAGTTGCTTTTTGGCATTACGAGTATCAGAAATGCACTCTTTTTTTTAGAACTCACGTTGCTTAACTAGTGCTTCCTTAATGGGAGTTCAGTGCATTGGGGTGTCATTAAAACAACTAAATGTCAAGGCCCAAAAACACAAGCCCCTCGGAATGGTAACAGGGAAAATTATTAATGAAGTATTCACAAACACAAGGCTTTGGACTTGGGAGTGACAAAAGTCCCCTGAAAACCCCATGTTTGCAGCAGATACAGAAATGTTGATGTTCAAGGGCCATAGTGTGCTCTCCGAACCCAAGTAGATTAATAAATAGAGTTGGATGAACTACATATTCTGACTTATAATACCAAAATATAAAGATGATGAATTGTTAAATGGTAAGACTGAGATGAGCGTTGTTAGTAATATTTTAATAATTTATTATTATGGATAATTTAGATGAGGTAATGGTTAGGCTAAAGGTTTGCCTGGTATGGGGTGTTTTGCCATTTCTTCTCCTCTTACATAAAAATTACTGATTTGCTTAAAATAACATTATTGCTGACAGGATAAATGTAACATTGTGCTGGAAATTTTGAGAAAAAAAACCAAACCCACACAAACCTGAAATGCAGGGCCGGCTCCAGGCACCAGCTTGGTAGCAGGTGCTTGGGGGGGCCACTCCGGAGTGGGGCGGCAGATCCAGCTATTCGGGGGTAATTCGGCGGATGGTCCCTCACTCCCACTCGGAGCGAAGGACCTTCCGCCGAATTGCCGCCGCAGATCCCGATCGTGGCTTTTTTTTTTTTTTTTTTTTTTGGCTGCTTGGGGCGGCCAAAACCCTGGAGCCGGCCCTGCTGAAATGACAAGAAACCCTTTTACTTGGAAAAACCAGGGGCAGGATGACATGGAATAGAAAGACAGAAATGGTCTAAACAGCAAAAATTGTGTAAATTGGAGGAAATGTATAAAAAGACTCAAGTGAACAAGGCCCAAATTGGTGAAACACTGGGTCAGAAGCTGAAGGAATGGGACTGAAGGACCAGACCAAGGGATCAGAGGAGATGACGACGGCCATCATAGAGTGCAGGAGAACTTGGGTCCTCTATATAATCTATTTATTATCTGGCATAAATGTGTTCAGACACTATAAGTGGTAATTCTGTCTTAAATTGTATAAATAAAGCCAAAAATTGATTAAGCCTAAAATTGGGTGGACTCGTAAATCAGTTTCCCACCATTACATCCCTAATAAGTGCAATGTTGCCACTATATACTTACTTGCACATTTGTTATCTGTTCATACTTTGCTTACTGTCTGAATTTTATTATTTCTTTCCTGCATATTCCTTTGTGTATGCTTCTTTTGTTCTCTATCCCATTGCTTTACTCCATGATATGTGGAGATAATTCTCAAGACATTGAAATTGACTAAATCAACATTAGCAGCCTACAGGAATTTGCTTGGGATGATAGCTATAATGAAATACAAATACATTATAATGATTTATAAATCTCAGAACACAGTTGTCTTCTATGATTTGTATTTCATTACAGTCTTCTAAGATTTGTACTTCTAACATTCTGAATATTTAGTTTTTTTATTTTAGAGGTCATTTGAATGTCCTACATATTACTGGCTAGTTACTGGTCTAATTATTCTGTGTATTTCTGTTACATCTGCAGTTTGTAGCTTTATGCTACTTTGTTATTTTACAATTTAATCAATGACACTTTTTTTAATAAACAAAGGGGGAACAGACAAAATAATGAATGGTTTACAGAAGATAAAGTAGGAATTTCTGTTCTCTGTCTCATCCTACACAAACAAAGGGATAGTCAATTAAACTGAAAGGAAGGAAATTTAAACCTAATAGAAGTAAATACTTTGGCACATCTTCACAGAGAGCTCATGGAACTCACTGCCACAATATACCATTGA